AAAGGTTTCTAAAGTGTTTGCAGGAGGAAGAAAAATTATTAGGAATGCACTGTATAGAGTCGGCTCCCATGCGTATGACCCGAGCCGACAGGCTAGCTCACGCCTGTAGCAATAACTGTCACGTGTGTGACTCACCACTGAATGGTGATTCGTGAGAGATCACTGCCACGTAACCGTAAAGTATAGAGGCGCTCACTCACAGCGTGTAACCTCAAGCTTAGAATCAACCCTAAGATAATAAACATCCCCGTTGTCTTTCACAACTTGAGAGGGTACGACTCTCATTTGATCATGCAGGCCATCGCGAAAATCGATGGTAATATAACGTGCATCCCCAACAACATGGAGAGATACATCTCCTTCAGCTTAAACTGCCTTAGGTTCATAGATTCAGTACAATTTCTATTGTCTTCATTAGACAGTCTGGTCAAGGCCAATGATACCTTCCCTATCACTGACCGATACACAGACACGAGACTAGACCCTGCTTATGAGGAAGGGGTGTACCCCTATGAGTACATGGATAGTTGGGCCAAGTTCGCGAGACCAGACTACCCCCATCAGAGAATTTTACAGCAATCTGACAGACTCGGAAATATCCCAAGACGATTACTGCACGCGATTAACGTATGGAATAAACTGGGTTGTAAGAACCTGGGGATTATCATTACCTGTACTTGAGGACAGATGTACTGCTGTTAGCCGGCGTGTTTGAGGCGTTTAGGCGGACATGTTTCAAGCAGTATAAACTCGACCCAGCATGGTATTACACCAGCCCAGGTCTGTCGTGGGATGCCTTGCTTAAAAAGACCGGAGTTAAGTTGGAATTGCTTACTGATTACGACATGCACCTATTCATTGAGAAAGGCTTGCGAGGTGGGATCTCCATGGCAACCAAACGATACGCTAAAGCAAATAATCAATACGTGAAGGGCTACGACCCTAGCAAGCCAACCAATCACATTCTCTACCTCGATGCCAACAACCTGTACGGATGGGCCATGAGCCAGTATCTACCCACAGGGGATTCGAATGAAGTCACATGAGGTCGATGTTATGAGCATCGCACCGATTCGAACAAAGGTTATATCCTCGAGGTTGACTTAGAATACCCCAAGGCATTACACACATCACACAACAGCTACCCCTGGCCCCGAGCGTATGAGGGTTAACCCAGACTGGATGTCTGAGTACCAACATAACTTGTTAGGTGGGCGGGTGACAGACGTTGAAAACTTCGTGCCTAACTTAATGAATAAGACCAAGTACATCGTTCACTATCGCAACCTACAGCTGTACCTGTAATCGTTGGGTATGAGGCTGACCAAAATACACAGGGTGCTTCGTGTTCGACCAGAGCCCATGGATGGAGCCCTACATCAGAATGAACACAAACCTCCGAAAGCTTGCCACCAGTGACTTTGAGAAAAATCTCTACAAGCTCATGAACAACTCGGTGTTCGGTAAGACTATGGAGAACCTGAGGAAACAGTGACCGTGAAGCTGGTTCGGTCGAATGAGGAAGACAAGCTCAGGAGACTGATAGCCAGTCCGGCATTCAACTGTAGCAAGATATTCACCGATGACCTAGTTGCCCTACACATGAAGAAAAGCCACATAAAATTCAACCGGCCTGTTTACGTGGGGATGAGCATCCTCGATTTATCAAACACCTGATGTACGACTTTTACTACAACGAGCTTAAGAAACAGTACGACGACAGGTGTGAAGTGCTGTACACTGACACGGATTCCCTGCTGATGGAGATTCAAACCGAGGACGTGTAATGCGAGGACATGAAAAACACCTCGATTTGTACGACACCAGCGACTACCCCCAAGGACCATGCCATACACAGTACGGTAAATAAAAAGGTCCTAGGTAAGATGAAGGACGAGTGTGCTGGCACGCCCATAGCGAAAGTACATAGGGTTGAGGCCTAAGATGTACTCCATACTGAAAGCCGACAATAGTGAGATCCGGAAGGCTAAGGGTGTTAAGAAATGCGTGGTGAAACAACACATCAAACACGCCAGATTCAAAGGAAGCCCTGTTCAAGACCCGTACCTTTAGGCATAAAATGAACACACTTAGAAGTGATGGCCATAGGATATACGGGCTGACTATAAACAAGACGCTCTCTGTAAGCCTATGGACACTAAGCGTTGGATAGCTATTGATGGGATAAACACGTGCAGCGTATGGGCATGAGAAAATTGAACCAAGACATGTCACGGAACCAGAAAAGTTTGAGGCTATTTACTATAGCCGGCGTGGGTACTGGAAAGGAGCTAGGCGCTGTAGATAAGCTGGCTAAAATGGCGCTGAAAGTACCGCCGACGAGCCAAAGCGTGGCTTGAAAAACAAGCCTTGTGGCAGATCTATTTGCCACCACCACGCTACGTGCCTAGAAGGAAGTTCGGTATTAACATACCTAATAGCGTTCACCAGGCAGACCTACTGTTCCTACCCCACGATAAAAGGTACAAGTATGCCTTAACAGTCGTGGATGTGGCCAGTCGCTACAAGGAAGCCGAGCCCTTGACCACGAAAGATTCTTCCCAGGTAGCCAGAGGATTCGAACGCATATACAAACGCAGTCCGCTGGCGTGGCCAACAGAGCTGCAAGTTGACCCCGGACGGGAGTTCATGGGTGCCGTGTCACAACTGCTAGCCAAACACGATACAAAGGTCAGGCGTGGCACGGCCGGAGCCCATCGCAGCCAAGCCATAGTAGAGAGATTTAATAGGACTTTGGCCGAGCGTTTATTCGGTCATCAGTATGCGAGAGAAATGGCCAACCCGGAAAAACGATCGACTGAATGGGTCACGAGGTTACCTAAGGTGGTGTCGGCAATAAACCATGAGGTCACCCGTCTCACCGGCAAGAAACCGGCAGACGCTATCAAACTAAAATCAATAGTTGCACAGTCGGCCGCTCCTTTGCGTGGGAAGGAGAAACAGATACCAGACAGGGCCCTAGTGAGGTATCTATACCAGCCGGGGGAACACGAGGGTGATAGCCGTAAGCGAGCCACCGATCCTATATGGTCAGTCAAAACTTACAACATAGATAAAGTGGACATTAAAGCAGACGAGCCTAACTTGTACTACTTGAGGGATGGGCGGGCAGAGGGTTTGTAAGAGAAGAATTATTGATCGTACCCGCACGGCACAGTGTTACGCGCATAGTGTCGCGTGATCAGGAAAGTGCTAGTTCAGGATAGACCCGTTAAACCCGAGATGATTCAGCTATGTCCCCGGTAGCTCAATCGGTTGAGTGGTGCGCCCATTATGTATAGTTTGCGCGAGCTATACATGTGGGTTCGTATCCCGCCGTTGCCTCAGGAGATTCCTTGCAACTTTGTGTGATGTGAGGTGTTTGGTAAGGAATCAAGATCATATCAGTTGGGTCGCTGAAAAGCACTTAGCTGAGCTGGGCACTCTCATGGTGAGAGAAAGGCAGCCGGCACAATTCCCAAGGGGAGGAAGCGCAACATCATCTTTCGATTTCACCCTTGGGGAATTGTGGCTGCCAGGACATTTTACTACTTTTTAGAACCTTTCTATCTTTCTATGTCATAGCGGCACGTTATACACACTTCAGCCGTGGTAGTTCGTATCCCGCTAGCGTCCCAAACTTTTTTATAGTAGGGGTAATGGTAGCAAGAGCTAAGGGTCCGACCAAAGCCTTATTTGGGGAATAAGGCTTTGCAGAGGTTTTTGTTGAACCTGGTCCCGGACAATCATTCCCTCTACTACTACCAATTTCAGGCTAAGTCAAACTTGTTGCCATGGAAATGCCAAAAATATTTTATTCAGAATTTCAAAACTACCAAAAGGCACCAGTACACCACCAGATCTATCTATGTGCCAAGTCTGGAGAAGAAACATTCAACGGTTTTAGAGTTCAGCTCCGGAAAAGAGTCCTACCACCAATTTCAGGCTAAGTCAAACTTGTTGCCATGGAAACGCCAAAAATATTTTATTCAGAATTTAAAAACTACCAAAAGGCACCAGTTCACCACCAGATCTATCTTTGTGCCAAGTTTGGTGAAGAAACATTCAACGGTTTTAGAGTACTGCTCCGGAAAAGAGTCCTACCACCAATTTCAGGCTAAGTCAAACTTGTTGCCATGGAAACGCCAAAAATATTTTATTCAGAATTTAAAAACTACCAAAAGGCACCAGTTCACCACCAGATCTATTTATGTGCCAAGTTTGGTGAAGAAACATTCAACGGTTTTAGAGTACTGCTCCGGAAAAGAGTCCTACCACCAATTTCAGGCTAGGTCAAACTTGTTGCCATGGAAACGCCAAAAATATTTTATTCAGAATTCCAAAACTACCAAAAGGCACCAGTTCACCACCAGATCTATCTATGTGCCAAGTTTGGTGAAGAAACATTGAACGGTTCTAGAGTTATGCTCCGGAAAAGACAAATGTGCACGGACGGACGGACGCACGCACGGACGGAGTCCATTTTAATACCCCCCGCAAAACGCTTTGCGGGGGCTAACTAATAATGTAATTGTTGATTAAAATTGATATTTTATACTTATCCTGACTCATGCTTAATTGCATGAAAACACATGTCAACAACGTGAACAATACAGATAATTTTGATCAAATTTCAAACCATATTGTTGGTATATCAATCTTAAAACTGTAAACAGCTAATTTAGTAGCAAGGCCTAAAAGTTTAAAGGATATAACGCCGTATAGGGGACCCAGGCGCTCTCACAACCGTCCTCAAGGGCGAAGAAGGAGAGAGTGAGGGACATGTTCAGACACGTGATGTGGTTTTCCCGCCTAAAGAGTCACAAGGGAGATAACACTGGGTGAGTGATTTTACGTCCGTTTTTTTTAAGGGAGCTTCAAAAGGGGATTCAAGTGTTCCACTATCAATCGCAAGAAGAAAGAGACATGCAATTAAGCATGAGTCAGGATAAGGAAAAATTTAGAATTGTCCATGCAGAATGGCTGTTAAGTGTCAGCCCTCAACCTACCAGTGTGTTGCCGTTTCCTGACTTGACGCTGCGTCGGTCCAAGAACATGGTGTCAATGTCATTGCCATCCTCTGTTATCACCTTCGCTCGCACACCCTTTTTCTGTAAGTACAGATGTACAAGTTTTTCAAGGCATGCTTAGTGTTTAACCCTGAAGTATTTGAACCTATGGATCCCTAGATTTCCACCAGAGCAAAGTTGTAATTTCGGTGTCAGGTCAAATACACATCATGAAGCCATAATTAAAGTAATTATATTAACCTCCTGCCTTACCATAACACATTCAACCAGACATTATCTTACTGTCCCCACCATTGCCATATAGCTGGAATATTGCTGAGTGCGGCATAAATCTAAACTCACTCACTGACTTTCTCCATGTAGTAACAGATGAAGAAAAGAGCTCACTTAATCATGCAGGGCAGTGGGGTGGGGTAGTGGTTAAAGCGTTCACCCGTCATGGCAAACACCCGGGTTTGAGTCACCACATGAATACAATGTGTGAAGCCCATTTCTCGTGTCCCCCATCATGATATTGTTGGAATATTGCAAAAAGCGGTGTAAAACCCAACTCACCCACTCACTCATTCTTTAAGAAAGTGGGGATGGCGGGGTAGTCTAGTGGTTAAAGCGTTCGCTCGTCACGCCGAAGACCCGGGTTGGATTCCCCACAAGGGTACAATTTGTGAAGCCCATTTCAGGTGTCCCCCGCCGTGATATTGCTGGAATATTGCTAAAAGCGGCTTAAAACTAGACTCACTCACTCACTTAAGAGTGTGCAACTTGGGTTGCATCTGAAAAGTATTTCAGTTGTATCACAGTGTCTTGGTATGAACTGATGCAGGTCTAAGACACATTACTTGGACCATTTTAGAGACACAATTCTGGGATTCAAACTACAATCAATGATTTCTAAGGGACGCAACTCCAGTAGTTTGTGGCCACCTGAGTAAAACAAGTCATATACAGATGGCGACGCAGTTATAGAATCCCTACCTCTTCTACCAGCTTGGCTCTGTTCTGTATTAGAGTGTCACCTACAACAAATATCAGTAATGTTCAGTGTTCCAACACATAGGCGGATGCAGAGGGGGGTGCAAGGTGCGCATCCCACCTTTTCTCCTGAAAGTTTATTAAATGACCATTGAACCTCTTGTGAAAATGCGTGAAAATGAACTGTGCATCCCCAATTTATCAAAAAGCTGTATCCATCCCTGCAACATGCATAGGCGGATCCAGGAATTTTCAAAGGTGCAGGTTGCATTCAGCAATGTTCAAGCTACATGACAGCGACCTGTACATAATTAAGTAATAATGGTAAAAGTCCGGTTATATGGCTCTCATATCCAGGTACATTGCCTGCTCACGGTGCTATGTACGTTACTGTCCCCGGTAATAGGACTCTATTGTATTTTCCCATACTTCTTCAACTCCCTGGGGATCATACAGTCATGCTGCCTGTTAGGCGCAATGAACAAACACTCACACTGCCAGCACATCCTGGAAGTCTTCCATTTAGGTGTAACCCAGTGTTGCAAACTCAGGAAACATGATAAATGCCATCCGGGATTTGAACACATGATCAGGGATCACACCCTTTTCAGTCGATACAAACAGTAACTCTCTCCAAGCTCATATTTACGACTATGTTCTACAATACTGATTCATATGAATTTTTGATGTGTTTGTTTTTAAACATTTGTGCACGCTTTGAGCATGCCCCTTTGTGGTATGGAGTATTGCACAATATAAGTACCCTTATTATTATTATTATTTCTCGCATTACCAAGGGATACAACTCTGTGAAGCAAATTGCATCACCTGAGATGACTCGGACACCTGTGCCCGAGCTTGTGAGTATAAAGTGGTAATACTGTGTTACATGGTTCAAGATGTGCCTCTGTGTCCCAACTGGATGCTGGACAAACTGTCCAGGGTATTTAACCCCATGGAATCCAGATAAACTGCCCTGATACCGGAGGATGACCCTTCAGAACTTACTGATCAACGTCTTCATGATGGAGGTTGTGCCAGGGTAGACCATCCTGCGCCCGAAGGTGTGAATGGCAATGTAACTGAAACCAGAAACAGAGCATCCACTTAGAAAACAGTGGAAATGCTTCGTAGTTGAGTGACACTGGCACTTTCACTGCAGCATAATTAAGTTCCCAAAACCTGAACATGTAGAAGGCCATATTTAGAAACCATTATTGTTTACAAACTGGAGTCACATTTAGCAGACGGAGCCACAAAAGTGAGGCAATAGAATAAGTATAGTAGCAATGTTATCACTGATGCTTAGGGACCGTTCATAATTTATGGCTAGGGGGTGATGATGATTTAAAGGGGGGGTCACCCATTACACACATAATAAAGGGGGTCCTCAATTTTTAAAAATTATGCTAAGAAATTATGGGAAGGGGATGGGGGTCATTGATTTTGTACATGACATGCAAGGGGGGATCACTTATTTTGTACATAAATTTGTACAAACCTGTAGAGGTTATGAATTCTTTGAAGAAAAGTCCTCCCTGGGGTACATATAAGCCTGAAAATTCCCATTTTAAAATACCTACGACAGTTGTAACAATATTTCAATAAAATATTTTACCAAACAAAAACTTGTTTTGTTAAGTGAGACCACCCCTATAGGGCCCCTCACATGGCCCCCATCAGCCAAGAGCAGGTAACTCTGGCTGCTTACCTCGTACCTCACTTTTCATGCTGAACGTGTCAGACAGAATAAAGGGAGGTGGGCGGCCGTACCCCAAGGAGGACTTTTCTTCAAAGATTTCATAACCTCTACAGGTTTGTACAATTCTTTTTCAGAAGAAGTCCTCTGTGGGGTACATATAAGCATCAGACAGACTCCCAACGATGGTGAGTCGGGAGTGGTATTCTGTCTGGCTAACATATCCCCTAGTTCAATCAAAGGCACAGCCGAAGCCGAGATATATATATATATATATATATATAGATAGAGATAGAGAGAGAGATAGAGAGAGAGAGAGAAAAACACTTATCGAGTCACCTGACCACTGATGTCCATCAGGCGGGGATGTGGCAAGGCGGGGATAAAAAGAGCCTAGCTTATACACTATTGGCAGAAATTTTAATGACTGACGTAAGTCCCACCCCCCAACCATCAAAATGGGAAGGAATGTATACACAAGTCCTAAACATACCATTCATAATCCCAAACCAGAAAAGCGTGGTGCAGGGAAGAAAAACAATCATGACTTTGAAAGCTCATTCAGCTAGAGAGTCACGACACTGCTCACTGGTGAGAACTGTCTGCCCAAACCGAGCACGTTCCCGTGAGTGTTTGTCCAGTTGATAATGGCAGATGAACGTACTCGGTCGGCTCCAAATGGCTGCTGAGCAGATCTCCTCAATGGGCAGTGCCGAGGCATATGCCTTAGATGTCGCCACTGCCCTAACTGAATGAGCCTTTAACCCATCAGGGATAGTTAACCCTTTGTGAGAGTAACTCATACAAATGGCAGAGACAAGCCACCTAGATATGGTCTACTTGTTCGCCGGATGACCAGCCTTACCACCGCCATAACAGCAGAACAGTTGCTTATCTTTCCTGATAGCAGCCGTTTGTTTGATATAAGCCTTGAGAGTCTTACGGACATCTAAGACGTGAGCATGTTGAAGAGAGGTACCGGAGGATGGAGGCTGAGTGAAAGCTGGCAGTTCAATAGGCGCCGTTATGCGAAAGACGCCTGCGATCTTAGGATGGTAAGAGTCTGGCAACCGAATACCGAAAGTCAGAGCAGGATCCGCATCCGCTGACATCACATGGATATCGCCTACCCGCCGGCCAGACGTTATCTCCACAAGAAAGGCAGCCTTCTAACTTCACAGCTGGAGTGAAAGAGACGACAGATCGTGAAAGAGAGGACCGGACATCCAATCAAGAACAATTGAAAAGTCCTACGGGTGACTAATCCGCCGGACAGTCGGACGGATTCTGTCCACGCCTGCTAAAAAGCACAGCACAAGAGGGTGCTGCCCCAAGAGAGCACCGTCGGCAGGTACATGATAGACAGAGATTGCCGTGGAGAAGCCCTGGATAGTAGACGCGGCTAAGCCGCCCTCTAACTCTAGTACTTCAACTACAGTTGAAAAAAAGGGATCGAGAATCTCTCTGCTGACACACAAGCACGTATAACTGGCCCATCTATCCTCATATTGTCGAATCCCTCCGCGAAGCCAGAATTGTGTCTGCAACTAGTGCAGGAATTCCGCGAAGCCAGAATTGTGTCTGCAACTGGTGCAGAAATTCTGCTTGCTTGGAGGCGATTCCTGACAGTGGCCAGGCCACCAACTAAATCCTGAGATTTGGGTGCGGCGCTTTGTTCTGGGATAGTAAGTCCGGTAGAAAGGGTAATAGTACAGGAGGCTGAGCCAGAAACCTGAGTAGTACCGGAAACCAGCTTTGAGCCGACCAAAGAGGTGCAAGGAGCACAAGAAGTCGAGCTGGTTGGGTGGCAAGCTGTGAGAGGACTTTGGGAATCAGGGGTAGTGGCATGAACGCCCACAGAACCCTGCCCTGTCCAATTGAGCTGGAAATCATCCGAGGCAATAATCCTGAATCTCCCGATTGTGCATCCACTCCTGCGGGGCCGGGATACGTCGAGAGAGCGTGTCTGCTCGAACGTTGTCTGCCCCGGGGAGATAAACAGGCATCACCCGTATGTCGAACTAGTCGCACCAGAGCAGAAACTGCCACGTCTCCTGCAGGAGAGACCGGGAATGCCACCCCACTTCAGGATATAGGTCATCGCCGTCTGGTTGTCCATCTCTTGACGAACCACACGGCCTCGAACCTGCTCCCGAAGTCGTTCGAACACTAACCTGACTGCTCTCAATTCTAGCACATTGATGTGCAGTTCGCCCAGCACGTCCCTCCACCCTGTGAGGGAGGCGTATGTCTAAATCAAGAGATCTGGCAACGGGTTGCCAAGGGTATCCCCCTGGATAAATTCCCTGCCATTGTCCACCAGCGTAAATGAGGAATTAGGGTTATATAGGCCAGCCTCACCCATGAGGTACCGACGGTCCAGCTCGGGCAAGTCGAACCTGGACCTGGTACCACAGAGGAGTGGGTTAATAACTTCAGTTAAGGCTGAAGGCAAAATGCGTAGCCGTGTGCCCGCCACCTTAGTAGGAGGGAATGCCTCCCCAGGGAGGCGAAACTTCGTAGGGTCGGGTGCGCCAGTACTGACAACTACCTGAGGCAGGACGGAGGCAACACGCTCCCGCACTTGTCAGGAATGCACCGAGCGATACAGAAGGTGTACCCAACCCTCCCCGACCCTCATCCTCCTCCATAGCCTCCTCGAACCGATCCTCCTGGAGCAAAGTCTCGGTATCTAGAGAAAGCTCCGAGGTTCGTCCGAGGGGTCTAAGGAGAGTGATAGAGGCTCGAGCAGAGCCAAGGTGCCCGGTATGCCCGACCCAAGACTCGACACTGAGTCATGGTGGCGAGACAAGGAAGAGCCTGACAAGGATTCCTCAATGGCAAACATAACAGCGCCAACACTGAATGGCCCGGCAAAGCCGGCACAAGCGGTGGGACCAAATGCGAGGGGGTTAGCTACAGGGACAGACCCAGAACTGAAGTTCGGACTGGCGGTAGCCACCTTTGTGGAGGGTTGGGTGCCAGCCGAGACGACGATTTTGGTGCAGACACACTCCCGACAGAAATCCCCACACTAGAGCCTGAGCTAAGGTTGGGGACACTACCCGCCACAGAAATGGAACTCCCCCCAGTACCTGGCCGGACGCCAATCTCCTGACGGAGACCGGACATCTCGTCAGATATGAGCGAGTGAACCGATGCCATTTGCTGCTGTAAAAGATCGGAGATTAGTTCAAATGTTAATGGATTTGAAACAGGGACATGTGGAGGTGAAGGTGCCTGTGATGTTGAAGGAATTGCTGGTGAAGGGACCGAAGTTCCCGCACCCTTCACCCGTATAGAAGAACCCTTCTTTTTCTTAGCCTTTTTTATCCTTATCCTTAGAGGGAGACTCCTGCACCCAAATGCGCTAAGGTAGCGCTACAGATAACACACACAATGCAAATAACAGAAACGTGTTATGACGAATAGCAAGGACTGTTTGACACAATAATACAGAAAAAATACAACGCACGGGAGATATTTAGCTGCTACAGAAAAGCTACTAAATGCTAGCATAAAACCACAATAGCGAAGCCTTATTGTGTACATAACTAACAAAGAGCAACATTTGTGAGCGATACGAAACGAACACGCTACAAAATCACTCAAGCAAAACTTACCAAAAATCCACTGAAAAAGAGGAATTTAGGCAAGCATAATCTACATAATGATATATCAAACCCTTACATCCAGACTACAAGGCTTTCAAAGCCAGCAGAAGGGATAACAAAAGGACCCCACGGTCTGCCATCTTGCCTGCCACATGGCTGGAGACAGCGAACACGCTGGCAAAGTTACAACAAATCATGAATGAAAAAAGTCGTACGAAGATTCCAGCTAGAGCCCATGTGAAAAAGAAGGAACCATACATACAGGATTTGACTCTTTCTCACTCATTTTCTCTATCGTAGTATCAGGCGAAGACATGTCTTCTCTGTACCATGCAAGACCGTTCTAGTCAACGACAGCATGAAAAGTGAGGTACTAGGTAAGCAGCCAGAGTTACCTGCTCTGGGCTGTAGGGGGCCCTGTGAGGGGCCCTATAGGGGTGGTCTCACTAAACAAAACGAGGTTTTGTTTGGTAAACTATTTCACTGAAATATTATTACAACTGTTGTAGGTATTTTAAAATGGACATTTTAAGGCTTATATGTACCCCAAGTAGGACTTCTTCTGAAAAAGAAGGGCGGGGGGGGTCCCATTCGCATTGTACATGCTTCTCCATAGAAATCAACACCAACCCCCTAGCCATAAATGTTTGTTAGGTTATTCAGTAAGCATTTCACTCATTCAAAGTATATTTACTGAAGCGTCTGTAAAATGGCTTTATATTGTCCACGTCAAACACATACATGCTGTCGATGTAATAAGTTCATGTTA